TTTCCCATTGGGAATGTGTTGACCTGCCAGTGTGTGAGGACTTTCTTGGGCGCAACCCTCTGTCCCCATCAAGCCTGTAGCTGGAAACTTCACAAAAACTCTTCCTTAATCTTTGGGCAAATTTTATCCGTTTTATTTCTTCTTTTGAGAGTGGGGGAGGAGGTACTAAAGAGGAGCAATAAGAGACAGGAAGAAAATAAGATGGGGTGGGGGGGAATTAAAGAAAAGAAAAGAGAGACGAGGTTATCCATTACCCCAAATTACTCCCTAATCTGTATCTGACAACTCCACCCCAGCCATTAGGGAAATACCAAGACAGAAATTCTGGCTCAAATGATACTGACTGCAGGAATCTTTGTCTACTGTACAACGGCAAAGAAATAGCTGAGCCCTGCACAGCACAATGTTCAGGGGAACAAAAGATTTTTAAAGACATTCTGACCTTCACGGACCCCAGCACCATTTTTTTTTTTAGCATAGAAATACTAATTAGGAGCGATCGGCGTGCTGTTATGGCATCTGCAAGTATAATGAGCCCAATCGAGCAAAGTTTGACTAAGTTACAGAGTGCAATCCGCAACGCTGAGATTAAAAAAAAACAAAAACAAAAAAAACCTCTCCTGGCTGCAAAGTTGCAAAGACCCCGATAGACCCGAACAAAAATACAGACAACCAAACTTCTCGCCTACAAACTGATCGGGAGGGGAATTTATTTCCCGACTCGTCCTCCAGTGAATGGGAGGGGGTTGCCCAGGTTTTTAAATTCCCCCGAGGCAGAAGAATAGGAGTCAAACTTTCTTATTATTATTATTTCGGTTTATAAACCACTTGATCTGTGCTTGGGAAACTCTATTAATTGAATGGGTTTGCCTTTTTGCCAGGTCCCTTTATCATTATTTATGGGCTTTAAATTGTTTAAAGTTCCCTTGACGTTCAATTTACAAGTTTAGGGACTTTTTTTGTTCGGCCTTTTGTCCTCAAGAAAGACATCGTGTTGGAAGTGCTTTGAAACGCCAAACATGAGAGGCTTGCCAGTGAAAAGGGAGCAGGCTAGATCGCTTTTAATTCCGTCGTGTTAGTGAATGGCTCTTTTACATAATTGCAGGAGCTGTTTCAAAGCCGAGCCAGAGGCTGACTTCACTTAGAACCACATGGAGTCTATTTTGGGCTTTCAGATAGGGGGAAAAAAAGCATGAATAAAATAGTTTAAAAAGATGAGGCTTCAATGCTTTGCTACTTGCAAATTGGTGTGTCTGATGGGGAATTTTCCACAAGAACCTCTTTGTGAGCCCATCTTGGACACTTGAGGGACTATTCTGGGTTAGCTGGATGTGAATGGCAACCGTCCTGCCCCTAAATAAAACCAGGATGCAATGATCCCACTTCTGTAAAGAATCCGCAATGATAATAATGATCATCATCATAATGATGATTTCCCTGCGAATCCAGCATGTTCCCCCAGGGCAATCGGGGCTGTTCCGCTAGATAAACCCAGACCAAGTAGGGAGGCACCGCTAGGAGAGGGAAGGAGGCTGGGAGCTGATACCGCCACGCTGCCTTGTTGGTGGTTTCACGTCTGTTTCCCCTGGAAGCCCGGGAACGGCAGCAGAAGGGCAGGGGAGGGCTGGCACCCCAGGGAAATAAACGTGTAGAAACTGAGCGATTCACCTTGCCGTGTTCAGGTCCCAGCCAGCTCCCTCCGAGCCACACACACCGGGCTGAGACATTAGAAAACGAGGCGGAAATTTCAAACAGGATCTAGTATTGCCATAAGCACCTCGCTGCCAGCTTCCCCGATGCGGGAGATGCTGAACAGCACCGGGTGCCTCGGAGCCAGATTTGGTGGCAGGCTTTTCCCGGTGTCAGACCCCTGGCAAAGTTTGTGTCCAGACAGAGCGCTCGTCCTCCCCGCCGAGCTCAACTCGTGCCTGGCTTGGGAAGCGCGAGAGGGTTTTTTTGCAAGGGTTTTGTTTTTGTCTTCTTTTTTGGGGGGGGGCGCTTTTCTTCGCGTGATCCAAACTGCAAAGGCATATATGCAAATTGCACATAGGGCATGAGAGGAAGGAGACTAGGGCCCTCTGCTAACGAGTACATGAAAGTGGGGGGGAGAAATAGAGAGAGAAATAAAAAAATAAACAGAGAGAGAGAAAGATATAGAGAAACAGAGGTAGAGAAGAAATGGAGATAGATAGATAGATAGATAGATAGATAGAGTACCTGTCCTATGCGGGCCATAAATCTCTACAAAAAGCAGACTAAAACCTGTAAAAGGGTTTTACTGTCTGCAGTCCCGAAGCTTGAAACGCATTGCAGATAGTTTAAGGTGTCTGGGATCGATCTTGTTAATCACCACAAAACTCAAGGATACTTTTATGACACGAAGAGTCGTTTTCTAAGCAGTTAAACATTAGATGAGAAAATATGACTATTGCGTTGGGGGGGAGGAAGGGAAGCACGCCGGTAAATAAGGACTCCCATTCATGGGATCACGCCGGAATCTCTAATAAAACAAGCCCTCTGCAGCCAATACTTCCCTTGGCGATTTATAGATGCAAATAACATGGCATCAAATTATCCAAAACGGGGAGGTAATTGCAGGGATTGGCGGTGTCCTGGCGAGCCGAGCTGGAGCACAGCCCGCCAGCCCCGCGGCGGGGCCCCCGCCCCTGGGGCCCCGCCGAGCCCGCCTGTCACGACAGCTGTGCGCGGCTTTGGCATCTGCCGGGGACGTGTTCAGTCTCGCGAGTGGGAATCATCACGATCGGCATGTCGGAAACCCCCAGCGCTTGCCGGGTCGGGACCACGGGCTGGCAGCCTGCCTGGGTGCCGAGAGCAGAGCCCAAAGCAAGCCCGGCCAAGTTGCGGGAGGGCTGCGGCTCGGCAGGGACCTCCGGAGCAGGCGGCGCGGGGCTCGCCCTGGCAAGAGGGCCCGATTCACGTCCCCGCGGCCCCCTGCCTCCCGGCTCACATGACAGCCGGGTGCCTCGGAGCGGCGCTCCCGGGGGCTGCTGCTGCCCACACAGTCATGCCCCTTCTGGCTCGGCACCTCTGCACGGGAACAGGCTCTGCAACGGAGCCCCTCCAGACGCCCAGGAGCTCTGATCGCTCCCGGGGCACTTCCCGGCTGGCTCTAAAACTTGCACGGTGCCCCCTACCCCCCCTTTCAGGACTGAGTGCGGCGGAGTCCCCGGCATCACCGCCGGACTGGAGGATGCCACCCCCCCCGGCCCTCCCCCTTGCTGGTCGTGAGACCGGAATGGAGCTAGCTGTGGCGGGGCTGGGAGGGAGGAGAGGACAGGCGGGTTTGCGGAGGCATCGATCCGTTCATAACTATCGATTTGTCTTTCTCTTCCCATGAAACGTGCCTGTCCCATTCCCAGGGTAGCAGCCCCCCCTCCCCCCTTTAATTTTTTAGAGGTTACAAAAAAAACCAACCCAACCCCAAACAACCAAACAAACCCAGACGAGCAGCTTTCAGCGCGGGGATCGTTACAAAATGTTGCCCGGCCGGCGGCCCCCTAACACCCAAACAACCCCAGACGAGCAGCTTTCAGCGCGGGGATCGTTACAAAATGTTGCCCGGCCGGCGGCCCCCTCGGCCCGGCCCGGCCCTGTGCAGACTGGGCTTGGCCCAGGGACCCTCTGGGCAGATTCCTGCCGCCACTCGGGTCTCAGGCGGCTTCGGCGCCCCCCCCGGGGCAGCTCTTCCAGCCCGGCGGAGGCGAGCGCGGCTCCCGGCCCAGCCGGGGCTTCCCCTGCTAACAAAGCGCCTCCAAGGACACGGGGACGCCGGCCGGGCTCTCGTGGCGGCGGGCACCGGGGGGGGCCCCGCGGGG